CTGCTGGAGTAATAAAGAATATCTCCATTCCTTCTTTGAGAAAATTTTTCAGATAACTGAAAATTACTATCATATTTTCCTTCAATCATTTTTTTGGGGTAGGCTATTACACTTCATTGTCTTAAAGCCTTTCTCGGAACTTGCCCCAATTTGTCACTGTCCAGTTTGAACTGTGATGTGGGTTATGATAGGGAACACTGAACTAAATGGATCAATTATCTCACACAATAAACATACTTTCCTGGATCCTATTAAAATAACATTCCACTTCTGCCCTGGTTTTCATAAGTGCTTAGTATTTATTGTACTTCCCTAATACATTAGCAATATTTATTTGTTTAACCAATATATTAGTCACCTCCAAAGCAACTCACCTCCAAAGCAACTCCAGGCATTATAATTCACATTTATAGTGGAACTAAAGCTAAACATCTTGTACAGCATAGAGTACAATGGTGCTGCCCACAATAATAATCATACCAGTTTTGACTTATTATTATGGGGCAGACAAGAAAGCATTCATATTCAAATCTTGCCCAATTTGCTGCCTAGTAAACTGAATGCAACTCACAGATACACATTATGTACTCACTGTTATATGCTGTTATTTATAATTTTTGATTATTAGCATTTGCTGTTACAGTTCTAGTTACTTTCAGACTGATGATGTGTGACTCTTAATGAAAGCCAGTTGGGTGATCTTGGGATAGTCACTCTTCCTCAGCGGAACCCACCTCATGGGATTGTTGTTGTGGGGAAAATAGGAGGAAAAGGGAGTATTATATATGATGGGATAAAAATCTAAAACTACATTTATAAATATAAATAAGCAAGATATGCCATTTTTAATTTATTAATCAATTGTCTTTCTCTACTAGTGGCTACTGGCTGATCCACACAATATATTGTCCTATTTATTTAGTTTTAGTTTAGTACAAGGCACAGCTAAAACACTATGATTTATAAAACATGTTTATGGCTTAATATATTAATACAAATATACTGTTTATTCTTATTTATTGTTGATGTACAGATGTTGTTCATATCTCAGTTTATTAAATTCTAATTTAGCTATAAGGTTATGATGTATATGGTTTTGATCTGCAGCATTACCCCATATATTGTCTCTGGATCAGCACCTATTCTTATTTTGACATGGCAGGGAATTAGCATGGGCTCACTATGTAAGCACAAGTTCTAAGCCCAGTGAATGCCTTTGAACCTCGCCTAGTCTTTTCCAAGTGAAAGTTGCCAGGCTGGGAAGATTTCTGTAATATAGGCAGAGAACAATAAAGTAGCTAGTTTGAAGTCTACATGTATGGGGCTGATTGTTTGTGCCTGACACATTCATTTTTTAGCTAAGTTCACTATGTTCACTATCATGGTGGTTCATTAATATTATTACTGTGATATGGTTATTGCCATAATTTTCTCTTTGGTATTAAAATGTTTAATATGATTTTATGGTGCTTCAAAACATTATATTACGAACAATAGTGTCAACACTAAATGATAGAAACGTGTGATAAAAATACAACTATAATCATTGAAGTTTTATAACCAATTTGTTAACCAATTTCATTGTATACATGATGTACAATGACAATAAAGGCTGTACTATACTTTATACCACCAATCAATTTGGAGCAGAGGGATACTATTGCTAGTCTTTTAAAATCCCTCTTCCTATTTTATTTTCCTTTCCTTGCAGATCAAGAAATAAAATGGGAAACTATGCATATACAGCAATTCTTCCACAATTGGCCTACGTTTTGAAACCAACATCCCAAATAGCTATTTAATCACATATCTATAATCAAATGTAAACTGAATGTCCAAGTTATAGCAATCTGCCATTCCTACCATTTCTGAAAATATATAGTTATTGTATTTTGGAAAGTAGCATTGTTTTTAAGTATTGTCCTGTTTGAATCTCTGTAATCCATACAAAACTGCAGGTGAGTTTTCGTCCAAACCAGTAGTAGTTTGAATAAATGCAGTAAATGCATGAAAGAAAACGAAAAGCTTATTGATATGATATTTAAAATATAAACATACTTTTAAGTACTGTGATACCATGCTCCCACTTAAATCACATTTGTGAAATATCGATAGCCCTTGATTTACGACCAGTCATTTAGCAAACATTCGAAGTTACAATTAATCTCCTAAGGCTATTTATTACCTATTCTTAAAGTTAGAACAGCTGCATCCTCTCCTGGTTATGTAGCCACATTTTTGATGCTTGCAATTCTTTCACATTTATGGCTGTTTGCAGCATCCTGTGGTCACATGACCATATTGTGACTTTTTTTGCTGGTTTCTGGCATTTACTTCTCTTTCTGGCAAAAAACAGCCATCAGGGGAAAATTGGTTTAGCGCACATGGTGTTTGTTAAACAACTACCACATTTACTTAATGTGAATGACACAAAAAAGTCAAAAACTCAGATATGATCATGTGATGCCTCAACTTACAATAGCAATGACTTACAACTGTAATTCTAGGCTCAATTATGTATGTAAGTTGAGAACTACCTGTATGTTATCTTTGTATATGATTATGGGAAGCCGAACAGTTCTGTTAAAGTGGAACATTATTGCTATTAACTAAAATTGTATTTATTACCTCATTTTAGACTAAATAATTCAATGGACAGCAGAATGATAGTTCTATAACAGCGATGCGAACCTTTTCTGGCTCATTTGCCATAAGTGGGGGGAGCGCAGGGGGGGCGTGTGTGGGCGTGCTGCACCCATAATGCAATGTGCGCGCCCCCAGCGCATATGCATGCATGACAGGCACTTCTCACCCCACCCTGGAGGCCACCCCGGAGGCCCTCCAGAAGCTTCAGGAGCTTCCCTGAAGCCTCTGGAGTGCAAAAAACTGCAAGCAAAACAGAAGTCCTTTCCTGAATGTCCAGTTTGCCCATAGGGCTGGTTTTTCTTGCACAACAAGAGGGCCTCTGGGGCGGGGGAGGCTATAAAGCCTCTGGAGCCTGGGAAGGGCAAAAAATGGCTTAAAAAGGTTGAACTCAACTGGCCAGCGCATGCATGCGTGCCCTGACAAATGGCTCCTCATGTCTCCTGTGGCACACGTACTGTAGGTTCGCCATCCTGGGTCTATAAAATGCAGAATCCCAGAGAGTTGTGCCCACTTTACCCCGTAGATGAGTCATTTAACCATTCATTTAATGGTAAGAAAATTATTATTAAGAGAACTGTACAGCAGCATTGATTGGAATTATTATATGATTCATTGCACAGTCAGCCAGAATTTCCGACTGGATTTGACATTTTTATCCACCTATCAGGTCTATCTCAAGGACCTGGTATAGGCAGATGTTTATATTTGATGGTGTTGGAAGTATCATCATGGGAATTCAACTGTTGGGTGTAAAGCTGCCTTTTGCAACTGACTGGTGGTGAATTTGTCAATGCTGATGTGATGCTCTAGTTGTTTTGGGATTATCACTCTTGGTATAATCTTTGCTTACTTTTGCCAGAAGACACATATTTTTCCATTGTGTCTGAAGAAACCAAAGTCTTCAGTAGCTAAGCAGGTACAATATTGCTGCCTATGTTACAAGTTTCAGACTTAGAACTCTTTTTCTTCTTGATGGACTTTACACACATTTGTCTGAAAATAAAAATCTAAAAATCTTAAATTTCATTTAGCATCTACTTATGGTCTCTATGAATATACTATTTGGGCTTATCTGAATTCCTCTCTGTCCTTACAAACAATGACCACAAACTCTCTTTTGTAGTATTTATTAGGCTATATGTAAATATTGATTTAGAGCTTATAGTTGAATAAATGATCTTAAATATGCTAATGTCTCTTTCAGAAATTAAATAACTAGAGAAAATTAGAATAGTGTGTGAATACCAAATGAAATTCTCTGGAAATATGCTTGCAATATAGAAGGAAAAAAGACCAGTCCAAATTTAGGACATGATGGCAATGTTAAACGTGCTTTGCTTTTAAACTCAGGTTTTCCTCTTAAGCTTGCTTACCAGCAATGAAATTACGTGAAATGAATGTTACTGAGAGCTTACCATGTGCTCAAGTGCTGCCCTACTCATTTGCAATTCCAGATACAGAAATATATTTAAAAGCATGGAAAATAAGTATCCAATGGCATGCTTTCCAAATGCTGCCTGTGTAGCACCTTTCAAATTAAATTAATGAGGGTGTTATTTCCTTTCACCACACACATCTTGAGAAGAAGGTAAAGGTCACTGTGAAATCACATAAAATGTAAATATATCAGCATAATTATTGCTCACTGTTTTATATGAAAAGATCTCATAGTCTTAACAGTTGTCAGCAAGGAGCTAAATATAAACTTGTAACTGCGCAATATACTTTAGGATATAGGTATTGATCACACTGTTATGGGTATGCATGATTTCTTGACTGAAGCAGAAACTCCACTTATAGCTGCAGCAACCTTCCCTTTGCTTCCCTGTCTCCCCGGCATCACTGATATAGCTTTTCATTACCAGTGGACAGAGCTTTAGGAGGAGATAATAGCATCCTTGAAATGTTTAATTCCTTTTACTACAATCAGACTAAAATATTTAAATTATTAATAATATACATAGTATGATTTTAAGGTGCTGTGTGATTTACAACTCATTTTTGCAGAATCTTATAACGTCTTTCAGCTGAAAAAAGATTTTCAGTGCTGAGGATAAGATTTTATAGCCAGTGGACATAGTTGTTCAGAATTTAAAACTGCAAATTTCAATGACAAAGCTTAGTCTCTGAATCCAAAACATGTTTCAAAATTACAATAAATATTTGAAAACTGACTAGATGCTCTTAATTGCCTCCGTCCATGGACTAACTGAGCAACCTTTTTTTCCCAACCTGTAATTTTTAAACAGTGCTGCTAGTAATGTGTGTTCTTCTTTCCTGAAAGCAGAATCCAATAATGGAATCGGAGGGAGACATAACATAACAGAGGTTTCAGGATAGGAAAAACTTTTTACCTGAACGAAGCTGTTTGATTCTGCCATTGCTAGCAGCTATGTCCACCGGAAGGAAATCTTTGTACCAGGAGATTTCGGGGTCAGGATTGCCGCTGGCAGCACATAGCATTGTAGCAGTGCGGGCCTTCTCTACTACCTTGAGTTGGGGGCCCATATCTATAGTTGGAAAGCCAGGAGGAAGTTGATTCTCTGAAAGAAAAACAAACAAAGAAATCCAATTAAAAGTCAGCGATGGGAAAACTGGAGGCGAGTTTCCATATTCCAAGCATTGGACAATCAAGACTTCGACACAACCATGTTTGGTTAATAGGCAGAAGACATTTCTTCTACTTTGGATTCTGAACAGTAAATTGGTTGTTAATACAGAATAAAGCAATTCAAATGTTCTATGCATGTTTCTGGGTGAATCCTTATGCAACATGCATGGATAAAACAAGCAAGTATCTTGTACTGAATTCTTCTGATTTATCTTCTATGTTCCAGTAAAGTTTGATTCTTTAAAAACCCAAAGAACAAATGAATATTAATGTCTGTATTCCCCTTCCCCGATTTTATGTGAGCCGCCCTGAGTCCCCTTAGGGAAAAGGGCGGCCTACAAATATTAATAAAATCTATAAAAAAAAATCTATATTAACAAACCAAAGTAACTGCAAGGCTGGATAGCCAAATGAATACTGCATTAACAAACGAAAATAACTTGGATAGCGATCTCTCTTGGATGGTGTAGTGAATTCGGAAGTGTGCATGGAGTTAGATTTCTCTTAGTTCTCTTCTAAACCTATGTTTCTAGGATGCACACTAGGAAATTGCCAAAAACTCTTCCTGACAGTTGAGGACACCTGAGATATGTTGAAAATGTGTAATATATCTCCTTGCCTTGTATCACATTGGTGAACATTAAAAAAAATCAAGAATAGAAAGAAATAATTATGTTGATAATGGCTGCATTATATTCTCACAGACAAACATAGCTAGTATTATGAGCATTCTCTTAGAAAAAGTCCCTAAGCGCTCTAGAGCAGCTTTTGATAACAACTGCCAAAATCAGCTCATACTTCCAAGATTTTTTTTTTAAAAAAACTATTCTCTTCTAACCATGAATTACAATCCAAGACAGGCAAAATATATGGGAAAAGAGCCAGAATTTATGGGCTTTTTAAAACACTAAAACCTCAAAATCTTTCTTTGAAAATGCTTAAGCAAAATAAGACAGTTTTCCTTTTTACCTTTAGCAGATATGCTAATTTGAATAAAGACAAATATTTGCTTCTATGGCAAAAGCCTTGGGTTATTACAACTTTTGAATACAGTGCTCCTTTCTAGGTTTTCTAAAATTACAAAATATTCATTTATGTAATCGATTAATTGAATAAGGGAAAAATTGTGCTTACAAACAGATATGCCAAATGCTCAGCCACTACTTTTAAGTAACTTTGACTTCTCTAGTACCATCTGCAATTGAAAGTGATGGATTATTTACTTCTCTATGAGTCCCAACACCATAAGGATCTTAGCATCCTAAATTTTAAGATTCTACATTACAGAGATCAAGACTGACTGAGTATACTTCATTTGCATCTAATTTCCACGTGTAATGTGTATATACATAATATTCATATTTTCAGTTAATTAAAGTTTTGGTCCTGGCTTGTATTTTATAAATCTCTAAATGAACTTGCAGTGTCAAATTGAGCTATTCAAATTTAACACTAAATACCTTCCCATCACATCTATCAAAAATCCAGACACAGCCTTCCCATTTCAGTGTTAGATTGTATAGCATAAAGCAACATAAATGGGCTGCAATCTGGCTTTGGTGTTCAGAAGGTAAGGGGTTTGGGTTTTAAAAAAAATACAAAAAAAAAGAGATTGAAATTTAGTAAGAGCTTGAGACATTTTGAATCTCCCACTCCACCCTCCCTAGAAATCTATTCTTTACCACCAAACAAAAAAGTCTCTTTGTATAAAAGGTACCACTGAAAATGAAAGGTTTTTTCTTCTTCTTTAAATTGCTTTCTCTTTATTTTCAAAGACAAAAGGTACATACAGCTTAACTGGAAAGACACCAGAGCTAGCATTCATTGACAAGAAGCAGCAGCAGCACTGATTTAACCACAACACACATGCCTCAAATTTTAACAAAAGCAGGGATACACAAAAGTATCACAAGACACAGCTTATCTTGCAAGGCAAGACACAAAGAGGAACAAACAAAAACTCTCTTCAAACTAGCCAACTGTGCCTGATTTACCTTGCCACTGGCAATATAAAGTAGGTGGTTAAGGCAGGGAAGACAAACACTCCAAGTGATCAAATGTAATCCCTAAACCTTCTATATTATTTCTCAGTTTTTGTGAGATAATATTCTAAGCAAAGAACCAATCAATTCATGTTTCTCAATGTATCTACACAATTGTTAATTTTAAAAAAGCAATATAAGTATTTATTATTTATATATAATTATTTATTTGAAATATTTGCATATTGTGCCTCAGTGAAAAACCCACAAAGTAGCTTACAAATTCAATAAAAACATTATAAAAACAATCCAGTATATGAACTGGTGGAATTAATGGTAGGAAAAGCCAAATTAAATATAGGGCCTGGAATAAACAGAAGTAAAGCCTTTCCAGAGGACAGATGCTAGTGCCTGTCAAACTGAAGTCTCTAAGACAGAGCAGATACCTTCTGAAAATCACAGATCCCTGGGAGGATGATATAAGTGGAGTCATTCTGCGTTATTTAGGGCATGGGTCTCCAACTCTATGGGTCACAGTCCACTACTGGGCTGTGAGCCTTTTGGAACTAGGCTGCGGAAGTGGCAGGCAATTTAGTGCATGTGTGCTCCATTTGTGTGAGTGGCATGCTTGTGCAGACGCCACTCATGTAAATGGAACTGATGGTGCACTTGCCTGCCACTCGCATGGAACCATCCCCACTCCCTCCCTCTCCCCCCCTGCCAGTCTGCAAAGTTGGAAAAGTTGGGGAACTCTGATTTAGGACTTTCACATTAAAATCAACATTTAATCTTGTTCAATTGCAGCCAGTCAACCACTGCACACTTTTCAGCACAAATTTTATCTATGTGGTGTAGTATCACAGTCAGTACTCTAGCTGTCTGCATTCAACCAATTGGTGCTTTAGCAATCTGGCAAAGCATAACATCAGCCTAAGAGAAAACTCATATGGAGTTCAATACATTGCACCATTACTACTGGAGCTATGGTGGTGCACTAGTTAGAATGCAGTATTGTAGCTGCCAACTGCAAGCAGTTCGATTCTCACTGGCTCAAGATTTACTCTATCCTTACTACTGTATATTTGACAGCACGGTATCAGCAGTAGCGTCCTTCAAAGTTTTTGGTTCTATAATCTCCCAAGACATGAAATGGACGCTTAACATTAGACCTATCATTAAAAACACACAACAAAAATGTTTTTTCCTGCATCAAATCAGGAAGTTCAGACTGCTGTAGGAGCTGTTGATACACTTTTACAGAGGAATTATAGAGTCTATTATTTGTATTTCTATAACTCTGTGGTTTGGAATAGGAAGCAAACTGGACAGGTACAAACTCCAATGAATAGTTTTGACTGCAGAAAGAACACTTGCAACCCACCTGCCTTCCACAAAAAGACCGTTGGCTTACCTGAATGGTCGTTCTCTAGGCGCTGCGGAGTGTCCAAACCCACCCTTGAGGTGGGGCCGCGAGGTGTATTTCACCTTATGACTTGGACTTGGACTGGTTCGAGTTACAGACTTTTGGATCTTCTTCGTTTTTCGAAACTGAGCCTCTGAGGCAACCAAGAGGCGGAGCTACAATCAATTTTAAAACTCAGTTCCTTGGGGGGGAAACCGGAGATTAACCCCGCCTTGGCGCACCCCCACCGCCCCCAGAAGACAC